ATTTGAAGACGAACACAAAGACCACATAGGGTAGTTGTGCGTCTCAATCATTTATATCACTTAATTGTCACTTCTAACCTGAACTTTAAAACTGTTTGCACTATTATAAAGGAAACCTTCTGAAATTTATACTCACATCAACTCTTGTCGATAATGTGTCACCGAGTCTGCAACCATCAAACGACAATGATTACTTTCCACTTCTAATCAATCACACTTCATACATCAACATTTGAATGAGAAAAAGAGCAACACAGAAGATCCAAAATTGAATTGTAACAAATACAAATAGAAACACGTGAGGAAGACTTAGGCTATGAGTCCACTGCATGATACACGTGGTCTCGTGGAAACACATCACAATTTCACAAAAGACATCTTCAACAGATAATAAATATACTCACGATACCAATTAGATTTTACGCTACTTACTGTGAAATGTTTCTAAATTGGATAGACATTATCAGGCTTACACAGGACTTCACTCTTTGACGTGTGAATGACAAGCAAACACTTCTACATAATCCAAAAGTTTCCTAACTTATTTCCAATATAAGCACCTTCATTACCTTGTTACTTCAACACATGACAAAGCAAATAATAAACGGCAAAATTACTTACTTTTTAGAATTTTAACACACTTTGCTGATTGTCTGCCACCCCGAGTTGCAGCGCGAAAATTACAAGTCCAAAACGTAAACAAACACTGTGAGCAACTGTTGCACATGGCACAAAACATTTCAAAGTGTTTCAATCTTTATATTTGCGAGTTTACAGTATTCAAAATTACATTTCCTTCCTTCTTATCATAAAAACTATTTGATAAATTAAATATATTGTCTGTTTTAAAATCTTAAAATATTTGCCATTTTTCGATACTATCGCTATTTGTGACATGGTATTTTAGCTCTAAAAGTGGCCTGAGAGGTAACCCTGGACCCCGAAACTTTTGCCCGCCAAGCTTCCCCCTCCACTTTCTGAAAACCCCGAAGTGGACAGGCCCTGATTTACTCCATTGGCGTAGAGACTTTTTGTAGCTGTCAGAGAGCTCTGTTGTTATTTACCCTATTTTCTGCTGATACTTATTTTGCTATCGGATTTATTTGTTGTGTGGTATTTTTACATTATCAAAATGGTGGACTTTGATGATATTGATAACCCCTACAATATAAATGGGCCTAACTTCTGCCCGGAAATGTATGTCCAGAAGCTTTTAAAGGTTAGTTGCCTTAATGTTATTTATGTACTTTTACACTTGTTTTATAAACGTATGATTCTTTTACTTATTTGATAACATTGCAAATGTTTAGCCCATTCTTTGAACCTTGTTAAGATATGCTGTCAACTATCGTGCTAGATACTGAATAGCATTTGTTTGTTTACAGGGAAGCAGTCTTAAACAGGTGATGGACAAAGAGGCAGATATAGTAAGAGACACTCAATCTTTACACTCTGACATGCAAACATTGGTGTATGAAAACTATAATAAATTTATATCTGCGACTGATACAGTGAAAAAGGTAACCATCTGGGCCTTCTTGACACTACAACCATATCTGTTGCAGAAAATAATTGTTTTTCTATTTACTTAGATGAAACGTGACTTTAGAGTGATGGAAGACGAGATGGAACAATTAGCAGCTAATATGGAGGAAATTACAAAATCCTCACAGCAAATATCTTCGACTTTACAGGTTAAATTTATAGCAGCTCACAGGGATTGCTTCTAAACTGTGTCACAATGAAATTGACTTGTATTTTCTGTATGTTAATCTATTTTTTTTAAATCATAGGATACAAGGCAACAATTTACCAAACTGTTGGGTGTGCATTCATTGCTTAAACGTCTTCAGTTCTTATTTAAATTACCAGCCAAATTATCAGCTCGTATCAAAGAAGAGCAATATGCTCAGGTAATGTTCAAACTTACAATTTGTTGGTGTCTCTAGTAAATTACATTCTGTTAACTTTTAATTTTTATTTTGATAGGCCGTCCAAGATTATCTTCATGCTCAAAGAGTACTTGAGAGATACGGCAACATGGCATCTTTCCAAGGAATTCAAAAAGATTGTGAGATAATTCTTGGAGATCTCAAACAAAGATTGCGAGACCAATTTAAAAACAAGGAGGTAGGTTCAGAGACCTTTGAAATTGGGCCGCAGTATTATTAGATTGTACTATTTGCAGAAATAACACAATTTTGTTTGAAGTTGAGAAAGAGCATACATTACTAATTCTTTCCAATTTGATCAAGGCAAGTGCTAAGGATTTAGCCAAAGCTGTAGATCTTCTGTTACAACTAAGTGAGCCAGCTGATCAGTTGTGTGCAGAATTCCTTGCCCATGCAGAAACCCGTCTAGAGGAGCAGTTAGGATTACTGGAAAATTTCCAAGAACAGGTAAAGCAAATATAAATTTGATAAATGTCAGAAGAATGTTCATTTTATGTGGAGTTATTGTTTGTTTGTTTTCAGGATCTCTTAGAGTTTGTTGATATGGGGAGCAAAGGATTCTTAAGTGATTTGTGCTTAGTTGTTGCATCTTACAATGACATGTTTATAAATAGATTGGCTCCAGAAATGCATTCCAGGTTTGTGGTACACTGCACTAAAAATATTGTCATTCATTAACTCATCAAGAAAATATGATTTATTGTTTCTTTGTCTTTCAACACATGCAGTGATGACTTTGAAACATTAGCTACCGGGCAGTTGAGTAAATTTGTAATGGAGAGAATGGAAAAGTATTTTGCTCTGGTAAGCAGTAGAGTAGAAAAGCAACAAGATGTGGGCGAAACTTTAATTCTAGTTCGAGCACTTGATCGTTTTCATCGACGGCTGCAGGCCATTAATACCTTGTTCCAACATACTGATTTCACACTGTAAGATTTACCTCCAAATGTCCTCTAGTTTTTGATGCTGTGCATTTTCTACATCCTGTTTTAACCCAATATTTATTTGGCAAGCAGAACAGGTACGAATATTGCCCTGAAGGCAGGCAGACGCCAGTGCAAAATTCACCTACAAGCTTTGAAAGGTCATTTCTGGGAGGCATTGACAAGAGTACGACAGACCCTTGCAGCCACCAAAGTGGCGGGTCAGGACAAAGACGGGCCAAGTTTACAGGAGTTATTGACAAGTCTTGTTCTTGCAACAAGGGTGAAGGTTAAGAATGTGCTTCAAGATCTACTGGTATGCTCATTTTTATTTGGGAACATTATAATTATAAATATATTTTCCAATGAATCAATTCCTTTTTATAACAATCTCATTGACTTTCCAGGTGTTCCTTCAACCTGACTTAATGTTTGCTATGAAACCAATGTTTCGTGAAGCATTCTGTGTGGATGGTGTGCGTGAGGGCCTAGTTGTAGGATTTATGCACCACCTTACAGCCACAGCTCGTGGCTTTTGTGCTCCTGGACATCACAGTGTCCCTCCAGCTCTACTACTACTGCTCTCCAAAATGTGCCTTGATTTTGAAAGCACGTGCGTCAGGGAATTGGTGAGTATTTATGTTTATCTTAAAGTGCACTGCTGGTTTTTTTTTGTTTGGTATTTTTATTTGCAAATTGAATTTTTTAACCTAGCTGAGTCACACTGATGACTGTTTTGATGCTGGAGTGGGCAGTTCATCCGTGGTGACTGCTCCAAATGAGTTGTGCACCAACATGCGAGCTGCAGCCCAAGACCTTCTTAATCATTATGTCAGAATGCAAGGTTTAATTGTCTCCCAGGTAAGTAATTGAAGATTTTTGAAATATTGTCTTTTGAGTCAATTAGCAAGTAGAATGAAATATTAAACAATCTTTCAGATGTTGAGAAAGTCAGTGGAAACCCGTGACTGGTTACACACAATTGAGCCACGCACTGTACGAGCTGTAATGAAACGTGTTGTAGAAGATGTTGCTGCGATGGATGCTCAAGTAGGCCTGTTGTATGAGGAAGGCCAGCGGGCTGAGAGGAGCTCAGATTCTAGCCGGCGCACCCACAGGTAAAATCCTTTTGCTACAGCAGAAATTCATTGGAGACATGATTCTAACTTTTATGTTTAATGGGGTTTGATGACATTGTTTTGTTCTTTTTCCTTTTAGCATGAGTGTGTCCCGTCAATTCAGGCCAAACTGGTCATCTTATGCCTCAAGCCAACTTGACCAAAGTGCCATTGCTACAAATATTCATAAACTGTTCTCTGAACGCATTGAAATATTTTCCTCTGTTGGATTTTCTAAAGTATCTATTTTGACTGGAATAATTAAAATTGGATTGAAGGTGAGAACTGCTTTATAACTATGATAAAACTATGAGTTACCATAACTTTTTTCAAGAAACCTAAACCTTTTTCAATTTTTACTTTTTGTTTATTTAGACGTTTATTGAGTGTGTGAGATTGAGGACTTTTAGTCGATTTGGTCTGCAGCAAATACAAGTTGATACACATTATCTCCAGCTTTATCTGTGGAGATTTGTGGCTGATGAAAAGTAAGTGTCTGTGACGTTATCCACTTACGTAGAAAAATGGAGCCTATTGCATTACAATATTTTTGTCTGTTCTCAGTTTGGTCCTCTTCCTCCTTGATGAAGTTTTAAGCTCTACAGTTCACCGATGCCTTGACCCTGTTTTAATGGAGCCGAGTGTCATGGATATTATTTGTGAGCGAGGATGAATATTGCAATTCGTAACTCTCGCCTGTCATGATTTTACAGGCTACATCTGTAGAATCTCGTTGTTGATTGAGTGTAGTAATTTATTTGACTGTTGAGCTTTGTGACATTTTAATTAAACCATTTGTTATCAGAAGCAGGATTTTTGTATCTCATGCATCACACGTTTTATTTGTGGTGAACCCCTCCCGCAACAGAACGTTTCCCTTGAATGTGCGACGGGTGTCTGAACACGTTGCGTACCGGCTGCATTGCTGCCATAGGATGTTTTTACACGTCTCTTGTGCTGCGTGACCACTATGTGGTCACGCCGCCATGATACATCATAGACACCCATGCAGAGTGAGCCGCAAGGAACGCGCTAGCACATGAAAGTTCGTTCACCATACTCGTGTTATCTTTGTTGCACCCCCTTCAGATGCTAGTCCAGATTTCGTTGAATGCAGAGCGGAGGTCTGCCGGAGCGGTGCGACAAGAGCAGCGACAGCACGCGAAGGCCAGCTCGCGGTGTGGATGGGCGGGGCCCGGCGGGGCGCCCGGGGAAGACCACGACCCGCTCGTTCTGCTCTGCAGGGCGGCCTGGCCGCCGTTGGACGTGCGGGGGCCGCTCCGAGCCGCTCGGAGGTGGGGTACGAGACGTGTCTATGAACTGTCAGTGCCCTCCCCCTTCTCTCACTCACCCCACGGCACCCCGCCCCGTCCCGCCGCGCACCACCCCGCCTGGGTCGCTGGAACCCCGCGGCCTCGCGCTGTGCAGCGATGCTGTGCGACTCGCGACCCAGACAGACACCCCCGGGCGTGGCGGGGCGGGGCGGGG